TGTTTTTGTTATGTTTTAATATTTTTTTCTTTGTAAATATTTTACGATAATCAAACACTAAAAAATTAAAAAGATATTTTATAAGAAATACTTTACATATAAAAGAACGGAGGCCTTAATAATTAAATATTTTGAATAATTAGCATTTTCTTAAGGAACCGGCACCATTGTGGAGAATTAGTTTGTTACTTTATGATTTATAATCTTTTGGAAAAGCATAACACGTTATTATCCAAAAAAAAAAAATGTTATTTGTCTAACTTTAATTTAGTGGAGGCTGAGAGTCAAAAATCCCTTTGGGGTGTCACTTTGAACAATTGTAGGATGCAGGGGAGACAATGGAATCCCCTCTAAAATCGTTTAAAAAACAAAACCCTCCGTATTGGTACAGAAAGCTCAATTTAATGTGTTGATATCTCAATTTAATGTGTTGTTTGCATGTATTAAAAAAATAAAGAAAAATAAAAAACATATAACAAAATTTTCGGATCCTACCTTCTTAAATGTCAATGACCCACATCGGCTTTGTAATTAATAAATCAGAATCTTGTGTTATAATTTTTAACATTGACTCACGTCTTTGTGATCAATAAATCAGAATCTTGTGTTATAATTTTTTTGTCATATGTCTAATTTTGAGTTTAAATCGACAACACAACGCGACAATTTTAAATTCTTAAAATAATAATTTTAAATTGATAATACAATAATTACATAAAAGTATTAAAATTATTAATTTAACCGTGTTAGTAAATTGCAACACTATATTATGTTGTATGGATTGTTGCAGTCAAAATGATACAGAATGAAATAAGAGTAAGATCGTAATCAGTTATACCATAAAACAGAGTCCAACCTAGTTACATGAGCCCATTGTTGTGTCCAACTCAACAATTTTGTAAGTAAAAATAGTTGGTAAAAGGTCGGTATAAAATAAAATTTGATGGTGTGATTAAAAAGTCCCTTTGTTGAAAAAGATGTACGACATGCTTTAGGCGCTAGTACTACAAGAGCTCCCAAGTCCAATCATCTTTTGATCGGTCAAATAAGTCATGACAAGGTTGAAAATTTTTATCGCCTATCTGGGCCCTACTTTTAAAAAAAAAAAAAATGGGGCCCAATTTTTTTTAACGTGCCCTAAAAAGTGAAGACAATAAAAGTTAGAGAGGTCATCATTTTGGCTGTATCACTGTATATATATATATATATTCGAAGAAGCAATCTCATACTTGAATAAAGTATAATAATAATAAAAAATAAAAAATAAACTCAGATGGCTGGGGGGGGGGGGGGAGAGTGGTGGGTCGGTAGATTAGGGGTCTTATTATTTAAATCAAGCAAATTTTTTTAATAAGTGTCGCTTTTATGTTTCAAGCGTATTTTCGTTCTCGTTTAAATTTTTACTGTTTATGATTTAATTATACCGCTCTTGAATTCACTCTTACTCTTACTTTCGTTTTATGTGAATTAGTTTATGACACTAAAATAAATTTTTAATTTTACGAATGATTGTACATATCAGAACTAGTGAATAAAATGTTAAAGTTGATTATGAAATTTTCAAAATTTTGAGAGATTTTTAACGAACTTTTAAATAAGAGACTCTATATATATATATATATATATATATATATATATATATATATTAGCCATGACCTAATTTTTATTTATTTATTTTTTTGTTTAAATTAGAGGCTCTAAGCGATCGCCTGAGCTGCCTATGCCCAGGCTGACCCTTACTGGACTAATGTAATTTTTTTTATTTTCAGGAAGCTCAAAAAATTAAGTCTACATGACAGTTTGCAATTCATACTAGAATTCAGAACTGATGAGTTGATTTTTCGTTACTTAAAACTGACATCGGAGTAAAGAAAAATATTAGAGTATGTATATATTTTATTTGAATTGATTCTATGCAATGTTAGCATAGCCCAGATCACGTGTCGGGTAAGTCTATAATAATTTAATATATTTTAAAAAAGAAAAAAGAAAGAGTTGGATCCAGAAACTTAAAGTATAACCATTATTTAAATGCCACAATCCGAACGAGTGGTTCGACCAATGAAGACCGATTGAAAGATGGCCAATGTATACACTGTATATGTCTCACATGCTCTCACATATTAACAAAACTTTGTGGGCTGAAACAATTGACTTATTATCCAGCTGGATATTAAATAATTTATTTTATTTTCTGCCATTTCTTGTTTGCTTTCGGTGAAGGGGAGAAGGTGTAGTAAGAGACGAGAAGACGAACGAGGACAGAGGTAAGAATGTACAGACTATACAATATTAAAAATGCGCCCAAATGTGGATCGGGTTGGACATGATCAAACTTGATCCGATCCATAACAATTATTTTTTACTTTATTATTCCATATAATATTTATTAATGAATTCATATTTGGTTTTTTATAGTAATTTAATGACCTAATCTGGCTAAGGTTAAAAAATAAATAAATAAATGTTAATGTCAAAAGGTCTTTGCGAACATTTATGAGGAAAAAGAAAGTATAAGTTAAATAAAATATGAAAAAAATGAGAAGAAAATTAAAATTTGACTCTTTGTTAAAGAGGAAAGGGAAGATGAAGAAATAACAATAATTTGTTTTTTAATAATATGGAAAATTTAATTCATATTAGATTTGTTTAGTTAATGAATTATTAAATTTTTTATTTAATGGGTTGAAATGTTTTACAGAGTTCAAGTTTTATTCTAATCAAGATTTAATTCGTTGACAAGCCTACTTTAAATTATGTTAGTATGTTAATTTGTCAACCTGTCTTAAATAATGAAGGATATAAGAGTAAATAAAATATTTCAAAATCTCACTTTCCATTACCTTAAAGTCCAAACCAAACACAATGATGAAATGACGCCTTATTTTCCTTGAAATGCATGTTCCGTTATGTCCCATTTAGTAGGATTAGCTAGATGGAGGGTGAAATAGATATCTTTAGCAATGAGAATGATATTGTTATTATTATTATATTATTTATTATCGTACCTTTAAATATTATTGTAATTAATATACTCAATAATGTTATGTTCAGTAAGTAAGAAGGAAGAGATGTGGAGAGAAAATATGAAGAAAAAAAAAAAACAAAATTCCTTTGTTCGGTAAAGATGATACAAGAAAAGAAAGAAAAATAAGAGGGATGACCTATCCTTTCTCTTTTACAAAATTGGACGGAAGAAAAGAGGGAAGACAAGTAGACTGTTATAGAAGTTTTAAATTAAATATTATATTAAATTAGACAAATTTTAAATTACAATATTATCCCCTATAAATTACAATATTATAAATATTATTAAATAAGATGGTAAAAACAATTAAAATATTATTTTTCCTTACCTCTTAACGAACATAGGAAATTATAATCTTATTCTCTTCTTTTCTATCCAACCTAACAAAAAGAATAAAATACACAATCCCTTTCATTGGGATGTCTCATGTATCTATTCTTCTCTTCCGTCCATCAATTTTTCTTCTTTCCTACGGAGCATAAAGGTAAAACTAACATCTTTCCACTTTATTTAATAAAATATTCTTCTTTCTCTAACCATGGTAATTTCAAATGAGAGAATAAAGATAAAAGTAACATCTATTGATTTCACAAAATCTTTTGTTTTATTTCTCCCACTCCATGTGTGCAGCCCGCATGACAGAGTGTGATTTAAATTACAATTTTGGATCGTAGAGATAATTTAAACTCGCAATTGGTATGCATGATAAGATCCGTTCAGACCTTCAAAGTTCGTCCTACCATCTAATTGTTTGCTATGCTCATAAAAACTTTTGGTAATATGATTTATATTGAGAATAATATTATGCGCGCATTTGCTTTATTTAAAAAATAAAATAAATTAGGCACAAATGCGTGACAAGTCAATTCCAACAACGACTTTTTAATAATGAGACAAAGTGCGTTACCTTTTTGCTTAACAAATTCTCTTTACGCCATGATTTGGGTGCTTTTATTGGATAACAATGGAGTAGTTGGGGTGGCTAACCTCCATAAAAAAAGTTGGCCGTTCAAGATCCAGATTGTGAGAATAATTTAGGAATGTATACCACAAAAAGAGAATAAAAAATAACAATGATCTACGTTCGTAAAGGAAAAAAATTATGAAGATAGCGACGCTGATTTGCTCTAAAACCTTTACAATTACTCAAGATGAAAGTATGCCACAAACCCTATTTGATAGGGGTGGCAAAATGGTCATATAATTATTTATTTATTTTATAAAAAGTTTAACAAATAATTTCATATAATTAGAAGATTTACAATTATTCATACATATTTTTACAAGTTTTTATTCATTTAAAATAAAAAACTATATTAACGAGATTATCCAAAATAAATTTAAAAAAATTTATTCTTTAAAACGAGTTGTGGGTCATGACGGGTTGACCTGGTTCATTTTAACCCAATATATATTTAATCCGTTACAAGCAGGTTGAACATGGGTTACAATCTATATTCGACCCGCCTATATTTGACCCTACTCAAACCTGACTCAACCAGTTCGTTTGTCACCCATACTATTTGATAACGCAATTTAAATATAATTAAAAACGTTAAACACCATTTAAAATGAAATAAAATTTTAAGTGAGAGACATCACTTATCACATTAAATTTAAAAAAAAAATAAAAAATATTTACTTTTTAATTATCACTTAAAAACTTCAGTTCTTAAAATTTCATTCTTAAAATATTCAACATTTAATTTGATCAAACAACAAGTATAGTAATGTCCTATATTTTACAAGATTTCTAATTTTACCTTTTTACATTAAACTTATAAAAATAATTAAATTAAAATATGATCATTGGTAATTTATTTATTTCCAAAATTATAAAAAAAATTGTTAAAAAATCACGTCTTAAAATGTTAAGTCCAGAAAAGGAACATACTTGATGGAGAGAGGCCGTCCTTAACATGAGTTTGGACCGGATAAGATCCAAATTTCAAACCCATACACTGTGGTGTCACCGACACCTGAATTCGAGCGCATGTAGTGTACTTAAAATCCTCCCCAGTAAATAACGCCATCCTCCCACCTCTTTCGCTCTCTCTCCTCTTTCTCTCTCCACTCGAATTCCGTGTTAAGAAATCAGCACATGTAGCGACGATAAAATCGCCTTTTGCTTGAGATGTGCCCCACTCTCTCTCTCTAGCAAGTAGTACTAGAGTAGTAGTAGCAAGAAGAGTGACTCAGTCTGACGAGAAGCCAGAGCTCACTCGCTGGTACACCCCAATTCAATTCTGTTGCAGTAAATCAAGGGAATTTCAAAGATCTTCAAAATTTTCAAATCCATCGACTCGACGATCTCAATCCCAATCCACTCCGGAAATGAAGGCCAAAGCCGCAACGTTGAACCATCCTCTCATCGGTTTCGAACACAAGAGGTACTACTCTACTGCGACCACCAATCTCAACTCCAATGCCTCCACGCGTCCCTCACAAATCTCATTTTCACACAACAATTGCGTTAATTAATTAATTTATTTTCGTAGGTTTTTTTTTTCCTTCTTTTTCTCTCGCCTTGATCTACCAATCTTGAATCAATTCAATTGCTATACTTGCACATGAACACTTTGATGTGCTTTGATCACATCGATCGGTACTCCGCAATCGGCAATTATTAATTTTGGATCGATGATCGAAAGTTGTATTTGTGTGCTTTGATCTGCTTGTTTTTCTTGATAATCTTGAATCATTGATTTCAATGAAGAGGTTGCAGTTTAGATATATGTATATTTTTTGATGAAAATTTGGTGGATCCAATTCGAGTCCGTTTGTGATTATGTTACTTTCAAGTTTCAATTGTATTCGATCTGTTTGATTAAGTTTAGGAGTTGAGTCACTGGGGATAAATTTGGGTGTCGAGTGTGAAATGTAGTTGACTGTATGAGGTTTAGTATATTGAATGTGTGCTGAGGCAATGCTGAGCACTATGGACAGTGGCATTGAGAGTGTTTACGGAATATGTTGCTATCCAATCTGAATCGGCCATCCTCGGATGCCGAATATAGGTATTACATAATGATTTGCTGTTCAGTTCAATGTTTAACCTGACTAGTTTTGTGATGTGGTAAAAACTTTTGAAGTGAAATGATTTATACAAATTCTAAACTAATTGACGTTGGCGTTGACAGGGATGCATATGGGTTTACTGTGAGACCTCAACACTTGCAAAGATACCGCGAATATGCTAATATATACAAGGTTTCTTTTTCCCCCTTATATTTTCTTCTTTATAATGCAAACCATCTGTTTGGTTGCTGAAAAATTGAGAACAGAAAACAATTTTGTCTTTCTATATGCTTTTGCTTTGTTTATTGAATCTGAAAAACTGACTCAAGCAAGCCAAAATAGTTGTATTAGACAGAGGTGAGTGGGACTTTTGTGCGATTTCTGCTAGGTGCAAACAATTCCTTGGAGGGTGTGTGTGAGTACAACTAGAGAAAAAAAAAAGTAGAGTTGCGGACACTGATTTGCTTTTTAACTGTCAATTCTTCTGCGATCAACTGGAGTTTGATTCGTTTGAATAAAAGAAAAACTCCAAAAATAATAAATTATGCCTTGTTTTGTGATATACACTCGTACTCTTAGGAAGAAGAGGAAGAAAGATCGGATAGGTGGAATAACTTCCTGCAACAGCAAGCAGACTCTGCTCAATTGCCAGTAAATGGGTTGTCTATTGAGGAAGATAACCAATCATTGCATGTTGAAGCTACTGAACAAGAAGTAGATGATGATTTGGATAGTGGTATTAATGGAGACGATATGAGTGACAAGAAGCCTGGTTCTGATTGTTTGACGGAAAATGTTACAGAAAATGACGAGGAACCAGCAACAATGGCGACAAAAACTCACAAAATCCGGATATGGACTGAGATTAGACCGTCCCTCAAAGCTGTCGAGGATATGATGAGTATTCGTGTAAAGAAGAGGAGCAATTTAGCAAAAACTGAGCAAGACACTGGAACGGGAAAGCGTCTTCCTCCTATTGAAGATATTAGATCCCCGAAAGTAACTTCTGAAGAGGATTCTGAAGAGGAGTTTTACGATGTCGAGAGATCAGATCAAGATGCCCCTTCGAGTGACAGTGTGAGTGCCCCTGTGACAGATGCTGCTGATGATACAGTACCTCCTGAATCTTTATTTCCTTGGAAAGAAGAGTTAGAGTGTCTTGTTCGTGGGGGAGTGCCCATGGCTCTCAGGGGAGAGGTATAGTACATACTTTTGGGTCTTGAGTTTGATAATTTTCATCACATTCTTTTCTTTGTAGAATAAGCATCATATTTCAATTCCACAATTACAGCTTTGGCAAGCCTTTGTGGGGGTGAGGGCACGACGGGTGGAAAAATATTATGAAGATTTGCTAGCTCTTGAAACTAAATCTGGTGATAATGTGGAACACAAAAGCCTGCAATTGGAGAACAGTAAGGAATCAACTACAGACTCCATGTGCATACCTGAGAAATGGAAAGGGCAGATTGAGAAGGTAATTACTTACCAAACGTTCAACCCTATAGGTGCTAAGTTGATTTCTATTTTTTTCTTTTTATTTTTTATTTTTGCATTTCAAATCCAATTTTCTGAACTTATTTGTATTACATTTTATATGCAGGATCTGCCTAGAACTTTCCCAGGTCATCCTGCTCTGGATGAGGATGGTAGAAATGCTTTGAGGCGTTTACTTACAGCATATGCTCGACATAACCCCTCTGTTGGGTACTGTCAGGTATTTGGATTTGAAAGACTTTTGCGATTAGTTTTTGCAGTAGTTGATGTTTAATGTGTGCTTTAGCTGTTGAATGAGTTACTAATTACAAGGTTATACAAACTGACATTGGATTGATTAGGGGAGGTCTTCAAGATTGGATTAAGAACAATAATATTATTCACTTATCAAAAAAAAAAAGAACATTAATATTATTCAAAATAAGGAAGCTAATGTGTTTGCTTTAGCTGTTGAATGAGTTACTAATTACAAGGTTATACAATCTGATATTGGATTGATTAGGGGTGGATTAAGAACAATAATATTATTCAAAATAAGGAAGCTAATAGCTAATAATTGTGTTATTTAGGACATTTTATTTAATGTCTTATTTAGGACATTTAAGTGGGGCTTGGTTTGTTTTATAATATTACGTGGAAGAAAGCTAAACCCCAGTATTTAGTTAATTTACTAAAACACCTTTATATTATATTACTTCCTCTGTCCCAAAAAGAATGTTCCCCAAAAGAGACATTCTTTTTGGGACAGAGTTAGTATTACTTTTTGAAACCCTTTAATATGTCAAACCTTTTGTAGGGTTGCTACATTCCACAATTATTTATCCACTCTTGTTGAAATCTTCTTTGTTCTCGCATGGCCGCACCTCAAGTTAACAATCCTTGCAGCATACAGTCACTTCCAGTGACAGTCTATCTCGATATCTATCTATATCTTTCAATCTCTATATAGAACCATCCATTTTTGAGGGATTTAATTAGCAAAATTGATTAATGCTTTTTCGTGTGTGTTTTGCTCCATCTCTTTCCTTTTTTCCCTAAGTGGCCCATCTCTTTCTCCGACCCAGATTTATGCATGTACATACATATATATGTATAGCATGGGTAGCTTTCCCACCTCGCATGAGCAAAGAGCAAGCAGCTTACTTACCTAAAAGCTAAAAAAAAAAAGGGTCAGGATTGGAACTTACTTGAGCATGGAACTTGTCTTCTTGACAGGCTTCTTTTCTTTGTTCAAATGGGCTTGTTTGCTTGATGGGGCGGGCAGGGATGGGTTCAGATGATCTAATCGGATTCATTGATGGGATAGTCACTTACTGGGGTTGGGGTGTGGTCTGGATGGGGTCCTCTTTGGTGGGGGAGGGGTGGAGATTCCCATGCCCACCCTGCTGCGATTCCTAAATGTGACCTGATTGATTTTAGAATTTATTTAAAATAACATTTTTATTGTTTTTTCATTGGTTTAATGCCAAGGGTCCACTCAATAATAAAAGAATTAGGATGAGGTTTGTGTTGCCTACCTGGTGATAAAGAGGCTGAACTCAGAATCAGATTGGACAATGTAGGATTTGTGTTGTTCCACCTGCCCCTATAAACTGATTGCTAGCTTTAGGGATTATTTTCAGTCATTATTTACTATCTCAAGTTCTTCATCGTACCTTACATCATGTCTTATTGCTTAAATTCCTGTACTGATAAGGATCTAAGTTTGGTTATGCTATCATTACTTTTCACTCAAGCTTTAGGACTTTTTAAAAGTTCCTCTTTCATCTTAGTGCACCATATTTTCTTTGAATAAATTTATTTTTTAAACAAGGCATTTTGATATCTTTATGTAAAAATTTTTGAAACAGCATACATGAACTTGCATTTTTTTAGCTTGTTAAGGAAGTGCTAGCTTATATCACTAATTGATAACTAGTAAAACAATAGAAAAGATCAGGGGACCGTTCTGTATTTCAGTACAAAAAGCATACTATTTGGTCATTTTTGAATGATAATATAATATTTTTTCATTTTCATACTTTTATAATACACACACACACACACACACATATATATTTCATACTCTACATTTGACTCAAGGTGAATGGGAGATGCTCTGTGATATTGTTTTTCATATTTTGCACTTCATTCCATGATACCCTAACTTCTCCCGTTCCCACATGTAAGTATCAACCACGGGAAAAAAATGGTTTTTACTACGAAATGTTGTTTTTCGTTGTCCATTATTTTAGAACTTGCAACTATGGTTAATATTACTGTTTTCTTACAGTTGTCCTGCGGTTCTTATACTCTTTCTGTTTTGTTGGATCTAATGTACATGCAGGCTATGAACTTCTTTGCGGGGTTATTACTGCTTTTGATGCCCGAGGAAAATGCCTTTTGGTGGGTTTAGTAATTTATTTGATATTTATTATTTCAAAATCAATTCTCTTCAGCTACTTGAAGTAGAATATATGTGTAAAGCCACTGAACTGAGCATACTTTATAAATTGATGGTGTTTTATTAATCATAAGCATGAGTTATTTTTTCTCTTTCTTTCTTTCTTTCTTACTTTTTTCTTTTTATTTACTTCTTAGGATACATCAGATGACATTATCCATTTTTCAGCATCTTTAGCATTGTAGCTTTCATTGTTACATCATTCTAAGTTATATGGATGCTCAAGTTTTGGTAACATTCTCAGGGCTTTAATGGGCATTATTGATGACTATTTTGATGGCTATTATTCAGAGGAAATGACAGAGTCTCAGGTAATTTTTGTTGTATCTTGGGTTTTTTATGTCAGTTTTTTACCATGTTGTTTCTACTTTTTTTCTTTCTAGAAATTATAAATTTCCTTGCGTTGGATATGAATGGAGTTAGTACTTAGTACACCACAATAAATGAGTAACTAAAGAAGATGGTGTGAGACAGTTGAGATTTATTCTGTTGTATTGTCAGGTTGACCAACTTGTTTTTGAGGAGTTGGTGCGCGAAAGATTTCCTAAATTGGGTTTGTTTTTCGCTTTCAAATACCTTCCCCACTGTTTTGTTTCTGTGGAACAGTTTGCATGGTTTCTTACAGCACTTGTGCGTGTTTTGCAGTTAATCATCTGGATTACCTGGGAGTGCAGGTTGCATGGGTTACGGGACCGTGGTTCCTTTCAATATTTATGAATATGCTTCCATGGGAAAGTGGTCAGGTTCTATGATTTCAAGTTTCATTATGTATTTTTTATTCTGATTATCTGTTGGCATTGCAAATAAAACTTATCTGCATCTTCTTTTGATTATTGGCCTTCTGGGTAGTCTGTAGGCTCATTCTCATGATTGGCATTGGAAAATCTTCACTCATAACTCAAAAGTTTATCTGTAATCTGATTTTTTTTCCTCTTGACTTCAGTTCTTAGAATCTGGGATGTGCTTCTTTTTGAAGGAAATCGCGTCATGCTATTTAGAACAGCACTTGCTTTAATGGAGTTATATGGTACTGGGTAAAAACTTTTAGTTTCATAAATTTGATGTGTTTAAAGAATGACATTAATTTGAATTTATTACTGTGTAGGCTATCTTATAGGATGAAACTTAATTTTGTTCAGTGTCATGCAGGACCTGCATTGGTTACAACCAAGGATGCTGGTGATGCAGTTACTTTGCTGCAGTCACTGGCTGGTTCAACATTTGATAGCAGTCAACTTGTCTTGACAGCTTGCATGGGTTACCAAAATGTGAATGAAGCTAGATTGCAAGATTTGAGAAATAAACATCGACCAGCTGTAAGAGCTGCAGTTGAGGAAAGATCAAAGGGATTTAGAGTTTGGAGGGATTCCCAGGGTCTGGCATCTAAGCTCTATGGTTTCAAGCATGATCCTGGATCATTAACATTAGAAAAAACAGATCAATCGGTTGATACACAAACCAATGGAGACATACCTCACAGGGAGTCTGGGTCTGCTAATGTGGATGGATTCCTTGTGAGCTTGAATGGGGATGTGGAGATAAATTCTGTTCCAGATCTTCAAGAACAGGTAGCTTAATTACTTATTTTAGTCAGATTTATGTGTTCTGGTCCTTCTCCTTAGAAAATAATGAAGTTAAATGTTTATTTTGCAATACTCTTTAAGTCCCTTGTTCAGATGACTGCAGTTATGCTTTGTTGCTGTTGTGGCGTAAACATATACAAACATTTAATTTATGATGTTTTCCATTTCAGTTTTCCTAATTTAATCTGTTTCAGACGGTGTCTGTGTTTGACATTTATTCACTGATGTGGCTACAAGTGCCACTGCTGGCTGGATATGGAATGTCAGTTTCCAAGAGTCACAATGATAGGATTTTTGGGTCAATATGATAGAAGGGCACGGGTTGAAAAAACTCAATATTGGATGGACTGTATAAAAATTATTATTTGAAAAGTACAACTTATAATTGCATGGGGGGTGACTGAAAATAATAATTGTGGAATGCAAATACCGACAGAGTCTGGAATATCTTCCTAATTGGGCTTTGCTTGCCTCAAGCTGGTATATAATGAAGCACCACACGAAATATTTTGAAATCACACCAGGCATTTTGAGCATGATTCCAAAGCTTTTAAAGTATAATTATTTATTGTGCTAAAGATGAAATGCTCCTCTATCATGGTGGGGGGAAACAGAAAATTGATGAAAATGAGAAAATTTGGTTGACCTTGCATTCCATAAAAATCTTTTCTTTGTTGGTTTTTTTTTTCCCCCAATGGATGTTGTAGCCACTTCCGTCAAAATGTAGGTATAACCTGAGGTAATTCAGTGGTTTCAACATGTATTAAATAGTAAATTTAACCACTCATCTTCTGTTCCTTTTTCTCCCTTTCTAGTTATAATGTATTAAATTTAACTATGTGCAGGTGGTCTGGCTGAAGGTTGAATTGTGCAAGTTGCTGGAGGAAAAGCGATCTTCTGTACTCAGGTTAATACATTTAATATGGTTTGCTACTACACAACAGTGCTTTTTTCTTTATTATTTTTTTAAGACATGGATTTTAGTTTTCCTGTTATTGATTACTTGTGCTATATGCCAAATAGATTTTTTTCTCTCTGATGCTTGTGGACCTAATGCGGTGGAGAACAAATTTTAAACACTCCAGGATTGAATTTATGAAATTGTTCCTGTGAATTGTCTTTTATACTTCTCCATTTAGCAAAATTCTGGTAAATGTAGTAGCAATTCAAGCTTGAAGCATTTTCTTGGTCCTCCAGTAATAAAAAGTTCTATTTGGCCTTTTAATGTATTATGATATTAGTTTTTATGTATATGTGTATGGATATGTATATATTTATCAGTGTGTAATGTAATATGACAATTTCTTTTTGCGAGAAGAACTAGAAAATATTGTTCTTGGAACCTTCCTAATGAGGTATGCAAGGATATAAACATTATCAGTTGAATTTATTACAGTTTTAAACTCCCCAATATTAAAGATCCATTTTTTTTTTTCCCTTCCTCCATTAATCTTTTTCAAGATTTCTGTAGGAGCAGCTTGGGAACAATTTCAATTTATAAAAGTCAACAGAGGGGTGATACTAATGAAAGATAGGATAACATGTGGTTTGACTGAGGATATGGCCTTAGATAAAGCAGAATGGCAAAATATGATTCATGTAGCCGACCCAAGTAGTTGGGAAAAGCCTTCGTTGAGTAGAGAAGATTTGCTTCAGGGAAAACAGCAACATTCCCTCACCTTATTCTCTCTCTCCCCTCCTCCCACCAAGCACTCACTAGGAGTTACTTATCCTGTATTTTGTCTCTGTTTTGCGTCCCAAATTTCACCTGCAAACAGACTTCATTAAGAAAAATTTCAGACATTTCTTACAGAGGTAACATCGTAACTTCACCTTCTGGCTTGAAGAAAAGTGACTAGAGTAATGATTACAGTTTCTTGATACGCTTTCCCATATGCAACATTACCTTGTTCGATAAATTTTATGATGATTTGGGGAGTAGACCAGTGGGTTGTGGCCTTTCAAGATTGGTCATCACAGCGAAGTACGGAGCTTGTAGTTTTTATTGAAAAAGTTGCGATTCTAGATATGATACAACTTGGGTCTTGGTGGGCCTTTTGAGCTTGATCTTTAGAACACATTATAATGACATTTCTTGCTAGCTCATAAAGTTGGAGAGAATAATAGGCTGTGGAAATGTTCCATTTTATCATTTGTTTTGATCTTTATGACCGGATTTAAGATGAGGGACTCATTTAAGAGAACTTACAGGGAGGCTGGGTGATGTGGCATTGTTTGTGTTACTAGCCCTAGGCTCAGAAACAACCTTCTGGTTTAGAACCGTAGCTTGTAACAAAAATTTGAAATTACATACTGAAAGATCTTAAGGTTCTAGGTTACCAAGCCATTCCAACAGACACACTAAATCATTTGCTACAAATGTATAATCTCTGCAAAACTGGAGTTCTTCAGAAAAAAAACAAAAAAAAAAAGAAAGAAGAAGAAACAGAAAGGAAGAGAAATACCGAATTCTTCAAAACCTTTATATGGGTTGAGCTTGGGGTACATGTAAACACCTGCAAATATACTGTGATATTAAGCCTGTTAACTAGATAATTAATAGTGTATGGTCTGTAAACTAAAAAATTCTTAACTTGTGCTAAATGGCAGTTTTTGATCTTACTATTTGGTAGTCCTTTTTGGAAAACACATATATTCCTTCAAATCACGTAATGTTTTGCATTAATATAAACTTAATATGCTCTATGGAGTTATTTTGTTTCATATGCCACAAGTAAATACTGTTAATATTTTATTTTACAGGACTAAGGTTCTGTGTTTGGTCCTTTTCTCTGTTCTTTTTCCAGAGCTGAGGAGTTGGAAACAGCTTTGATGGAGATGGTCAAGCAGGATAACAGGAGGCAATTGAGTGCAAAGGTATATATCAGAAGTTCCATTGTTCATGGCTCATCTCCTTATTTTTGTTTTATTTTATTTTCCTTTTTTGTGATCGGAGACATGATTGTTGTTCTTGCTACTCTTTTTCACCTTCTATTTAGTGATTTGCCATATCAAAGTAAACATGTCCAAGTGTGGCTTTAGAGTTCTGGATTCAATTGTGAGTGCGTGCTCGCTTGTCATGTGGGCTCGTGTGAAGCAGTAGGCTAAGATTATGGCTACTTTAAGTACACATCGTGTAGACCTGTTTTCTAGTGTTTTAATATATATTCACATTTTTTTTATTCCTTTTATATTCATTTAAGAGGCACAGATCTCGCATTCTTTTACTGCCTGTTCTGTCAGCTTTGCCATATTGTAACAAGCCTGTGCTAATCTGTTTTAAGAGAATTGTAACTCTACTCTCCATTTTCTACTGTGTGAAGCAGTAACATGAAATATGTTATTGTTTAAAGTTTACATCAAAGAGATTTGTTGCAAATTTTTTTTGTGAAAAGTTCATCGTCTTCAGTTGATCCATGCTTTAGCCATGAAAATGGTAGGAGGAATATATCAATATATCAACATATATATATTAATATATGAAAGATTTAACTAACGTTCAGATTGTTACTGTAACAGATAGTGTAAAAAATGACTGCTACAAATGCATCTTTAAAAATCTGCTGTCCCAAGTGACATTTTCTGGGGTTCCTTTAATGGTGTTTTGTATAGCTTCTAGAGCTTATATACTTTGGTTCCAAATTCTTATTTGTTGTTTTGAATTCTGTAAACAAGATGGTAAACAGAATCTTCTGCAATGCTTGCATCTTTCCATACTTGATCTTGTGCAAGCAGATCTGCTAGGAATGATTTGCTATTACTATTAAGACTCACCTAAGCCAAATGACTGTTTCATGGTCGAGCTTTTTGGTGGTCTTCTACTTGTTTAAAGCGTTTGCTTATGATCTTCAGGTTGAGCAATTGGAGCGTGAGGTTGCTGAACTTCGGCAGTCCCTTGCTGATAATCAAGAACAAGAAAATGCCATGCTTAAGGTTTCATTATTGTTTATTTTCAATGATTATATAGTTGAAAAGTTGATTAATATTCCTCTCCTATCTTGAAAAATATTTCACGATAAGAGCTTTACATTTATAGGTTCTGATGAGGGTAGAGCAAGAACAGAAGGTAACAGAAGATGCTCGCAGATTTGCTGAGCAAGATGCAGCAGCCCAGAGATATGCTGCTCAAGTGCTTCAGGTTTTATCTTATATTCTAAATTTCCATTTTTTTATACTGATTTGCTTTCTTTGGTCGAAGTTCTTATATTAGTTCAATACCCATAAAATAGTCCAAAAGAACATTATTGCACATGGATGACTTAAGGCTGTGCTCGGATATGCTTAAGAAAGCCTTTCTTCTTTAAATGAAAGGGTGACATTCTTTTTAAGTCAAAAATAGCATTCGGATTGTTGTGATGTTTCAAGAAAGGAATAAAGGAAACAGAATATCTGTTTTCCGTCAAAGGAAAAAGATTTGAGTTTTTGTTTGAAAAAACTGAATATGGATAACCAATATATAAGATAATTATATTTCTTATAATCTACAATTTTTTGTTTAGCAAGCCAAAACGACTTACCTCCCTGTAAAATTCATTTCTTTGGTACCAAAACTAGATTTTGATTGTGAAAGTGATTATGGAAAAATAAAAATAATATAAACTGTTGGTCTTTTATACATGAAAACACTTCAAATGGATCCAAACATGGCTGAAGTTTTTCATTGATGAGTTTGTGATATGGTTATGTTTTTCCTTGCTTGCCAAATTCTGTGTATGACTTCGAATTATATGATTGACATATTCTCCCACCATTAGGTTTTAAAAAATGCGTGGAAGCCTTTTATTCTGCTTTGTACATGGCAAACATCATAAATAACATTCCCTTGTGGTATCTACTCTTGGTTTACTTTGAATTCCCTTTTATTACCATTAGCATCATCTCAGCATTCTTTTCTTGACCAAGATGATCCTGCAAACATGTTTTGATTGCTCAACATTCTGAGATAGTATTACCATTAAATCAGTCACATAATTCCTTTTTTTTTCTCTCTCTATAATATATCTTTCATGCCTTCCTGCGAAGGTATTCTCTAACGATCTAAAATTGAGTTATTTCGGCTGCAAAGTAAGACAAACACAGATATAGGAGAAGGACGTGATACAACAAGGATAAGCTTGCGTAAGAAATCCAAAAAAACTAGGATACCGGCAAGGCGTGGAACATGACAGTATATAAATAAAAAAATTTATTTGGACACTTCTTTAAGATAATGTAGAACTTCTATTAATTTTCTAATTTATATACTAAGAATTGCATCATATGGAAGATGAAGCTAAAGGAATTTCGTAAAGATTATTATATTATGTATTTGCTGTTGCTTTCCTGCTATATGTTTCCCGTTATAGTCATAGTGTTCTCCTTTACTAAAAGGCTTTCATTACATGCTTGTCTGTGTGTTGTTCATATAAACAATGTCAATTTGATTGCATATCATGTTGAATTGTGTTCTGCGACCTCCTTTGGTCAAGATCTGTTGATTCTGTTCACTGGCATCTTTGATTTATTTCTCAGCTCATGAGGTTACTTTTAAGCAATACTTTCATTATTTCACAAGTATTTCTTTGGAGCTTTTATATGCTGTAATTAGTGAGGCACTTACAAAGGGGCCCAGATATAATAATTAAAGTAATTTTTGTTAAAAATTTGCTTAACGTCTTCTATAGGTATTTAGACTTCTGGTTTGGTTATGTGCTTGCACATCTTTCCACAATTGGAGATCAAACTGTTGCAGCCTTAAACAGTTTGAATTTTCATGAATCTCTTGGTTATTTGACACCTCTTCAATATCACAGATTTCCACTATTTCCTAATTAATTGGGTAACCAGAAATTGGGCAACTATCTCATGTTTGAGTGAAGAGAATCGCAAAGTTGAGGAATGCAATAACAAGAACACTAATAAATAAAAATTTGGACAAACTTTAAAGCCCTCTGTCAGTAAACTACAAAGATATGCACCCCTCAATACAGGAGGGCATGGGGGAATAATTATTTCTTTAGGTCTGAATGTCTGATTACCATGAATGGTACACAAAATCGGAGCTGAACCAAAATTATAATTCCATTGTTTGACCAAACACTTGATAGTTAAGGTTACAACTGTATTTTATATAAGTTTTCACTTTCTAAAAGTAAATTAGAAAATTTATAACACAGCCAAAAAATGCGTTCCAAGTGGAGGTCTGGGCGCTTATGCACTTAATTCATCCTATCTAAGAGAAATGAATTGCAAGAGAATTTTTTTTTAATAACTCGAGCATAATCATATATTTTGAATTGGACTCTTGGAGATCTTTTCTAAAATGTGAGAACAAGAGAATCTTGAATTGAAGCAATCAGATCTCTCCAGTTTGAAGACAATTTACCCAGTTTTGAAGTCACAAGATGCAATCTTATGTCTCTGCATTATCACAAATCCATTTATTCACAGAGTATGATCGCTTCGATTAAATAGTAGTAGTAGTCACAAGCACTGGTGAAAAGGAATTGGAGATGGAAGTATCATGGTACGTTGCCAAGGGGGAATTGAGCTTGGCCTCTTAAGCAGTTCCAACTACTCATAAAATTGGAAATCTTCACCCCACCCCCCGCATAAAAGAATTATCCTAGTCATTATAACTAAGACTCAATCTCTTGGAATCTGGTGTGGAATTTTCAGTTCTAATCCAGGTCGTCCTCACAATCACTGAAAGTATAAATAGAAGCCCATTTCCAATTCTGGGGCTCAATTTGGCAGGAAGATGTTCTGCATAGGTTTGTAGCCTAACTGATATTTTGTCGCTTCTTAGTGACCTTAATGTAGAAGTCTGGAGGTTCAAGTTTGCTGACATATCTTGTGTTGACTTTCGACAAAGTATTTAATGATAGACTCCCCACACACACACACTGCACAAGGAAAAAGGAAAAAGAAAGAGAAGAGAGAGTGAGTGGGAAGATATCTACCATCTCTTTTTTTTTTAGTCTGTTGGAAATAAGTACATTTAATTCCTTAAAGGTTAGTCATGGGAGAGTTTGAATTTGGAATCAATTCTGGCTTTATGCTTTAGCTCCTGGAAAACCTGGATAAGTGAAATCATCATCATAATTCCTCCTCTTCCTCCTATATATTTATGAAAATTTAGTTCTTGATAATTTTTTGGGATTTTATCTTCTGCCCCAACTATGTCTATGTAGGAAAAATATGAAGCGGTCACTGCTTCCCTTGCTGAAATGGAGAAGAGGGTAGTTATGGCAGAATCAATGTTAGAGGCTACCTTGCAGTATCAGTCAGGCCAAAATAAAGCGCAACCTTCTCCGCGGTATATAGTATTTGTTGCAGTTTTAATACTTGTGCTTGTTCTTTATATTCTTGTTGACTAGACTTGTGACCGTGCTATTCACTAATGTTGGTGATGCTAAAAAGCATCAAACCACAGCAGTTTCTTGATAACTTTTTCCATTTCTCACTCTCTCTCTCTCTCCACACACACACACACACACGAGAACAACCAATCCTTTTCCCAGTTACTTGGGGACGGCTACATGAATCCCATGTTTCCATTCCTCTCTTTCATGTTCATATTGGTCATGACAAAGTTTTACACTGACTGTCAAGCTACCTGGCGCAACCCTCCTTTATTCGGGCTTGGGACTGGCTGTGTTTTTTATACAGCGGGAGTTAAAATTAATATATTTGTAATCTAACATCAGTTGCCCATATACAATGCCATATTTGTGTAAAAGGAATCAAGTGCAGGTGCAATAGCTATACTGCATACTTATTGTGTCTCTTTGGTTGTCGGTCTCTCACAATTAATATGCTTTGTTTTGTAGATCTGTACAGCAAGATTCTTCACCAGTACAGAGCAATCAAGAGCTCACACAAGACCTTCCCACAAGAAAGATTAGTTTGCTATCTAGACCTTTTGGACTTGGTTGGCGTGACAGGAACAAGGTTTGCTTTTTATCAGTTTCCACTTAAATTTTAGAATGATTGGTATTTGCACAAGAATGATATATGAAGGTGTGCTTGATGATGATATTGTCTTGGACTGGCTGTCGGTACAATATGTGAAGCCTCTTATATGGATCTCACTTTCCTCTGATAATATATTTTAACTAAATTATATAGTATGATCTGATCAACAAAAACTTGGGGAAGGGGATTTTCTTGAAGGGTGATAATAACTTAGGTACCTTCTAAATCTGGAAGCTATACATGATGTGCACTTGACTAGATACATAGTTACTATCTTGAAATGTTGATAAATGACTTAACATTTTCTTTTTTAGTTGCATAAATAAGACACACACCCCGTGACCCCTACAGATTCCCATTATTTTCTTACGAGGATTGGTGTCGTCTGTCCTATGAGAAGTTGGTTAAATCAACATTGCATGGATGCCTAAAACTGTATGAAATGCCCGTGCTAAACATGAAGTGTCATGCACATGGGTTTGTGATGCGTCCGATACTCTAATCCGTTCATCCAAAAAATATGTACAATAAATAAAGAGTGAAACTCATTCTTGTTTCACTAGTAAACTCCAGGGTACCTTTATAAATTATTCCTTTGTTAAATATACCCTATTTTATTAAGCCTGTTTGACTTTTATTCCACTATTATTCCTCATTCCTTTGTCCCCATTTTGCTAGAAAACTGCTGTGGGCACCTTTATAAATGATTCTTAATAAATTCTATCTTACTAAGTGTAATGGGTGAGTGCTTCGTGATCTGACCCCAAAGATTAAGCTATTAGGTTGGGTTAACACCCAACCCATATATACCCATTCATTTTTCCATCCAAATCCGATGTAGGACAAGCTCCTCCTTGTTACATTCTCCCCCACCCGAACTCGCAACACCCTCGTTGTAGTTCGGGCCACCTGTCCCTGCCTACCTAGGGTGCAAACCCGGACGCCCTTTAGGCTGGGCACTTGGCGTGACACTGGATGAAGGATTGGGTCTGACTCTTATACCAATTGTAATGGGTGAGTGCTTCGCGATCCGACCCAACAACTTAAGCTATTAGGTGGGGCTAACACCCAACCCATATATACCCATTTATTTTTCCATCCGGATTCGATGTGGGACAAGCTCCCCCTTGTTACACTAAGCCAGAAACAAGCTTTTCGTCACCAGAAGTTATGGTATTGGAGCCAGTGTTTTTAAAGGCACGCCTGGGTTTCAGGCTTATTCAGGAGCAACATTTGCACCTGTTGTGTGATCAGGTGCGCCTTTGATAACATATGCGCCTTTAATACGGAATATCAATATGTTTTAATAGTAATTTAATTTCTCAATTGTGTGCCTTGCTTCACTCACGTGTGCGCCTAGGCCCCAAAGGACCTCTGGCGCCTTAGTGCGCCTTGGGCCTTTGATAACACTGATTGGAGCAGATTTGGTGTTACAATAGAGTAAAGGCCAAATGTAGCCACTTGGGATGTTAAAGGACTTGGTTCCTGTTGGAGATCTTCGTAGTTGTTAAGCCCGCTCCGAACCTTTAGTATTTTGTTCTACGAGTTTAAAGATAAGTTTTTTCCAATAACTGCATAGGAATACAAACATAGTGTCCCCCGCCCCCCAAAAAAAATAATAATAATAATTAAATGAGTGAAATACCAATGGCTATCGTGCTATTGTAACATAAATGCTTTAGTCAGCCTGGGGCATTGGTATGGAGATTGTGGAACTTGAAACAATTTGATTTTGTCCATAAGGTTCATGTTATTATGTAAGTTAACCTGCATGGTAATGATAATTACAGTATCTGCAACATATTTTTTTAAAAAAAAAAATCATATTTAATAGCAAATTGAAAATTGTCGTAATCATTTTGGTTGTAAAGCGAAGTTTCATCAATCAACAATTCCTCAACTTTTTAATTGCTATCACTTCTTGAGCACCCCATATAAAATTTATTAAAAGATACTTATATGTGCACATGTTTGTTATGTAAAATTCTTATAAAAATTTCATGTAATATGGCCCTTTAGTAATAAGCTAAACATACTCCGTGGGGGCAATTGCCCCCACTGAGTATACATTGGGTCCTTCCTTGGGAAGTAGGGGCCTGGTATCGCTGGTCCACTACCCGTAGGTCACTTAAACAATTATAGCTATTCAAGGGTTGTACAAACAACAGGGGTCAAGGTCGGCCAGTGAGACGATGGGGGATAAGCTTCGTTGTCGACCTATATATGGGATAAGCTTCACTTATACAGTTCTAGCTATTCAAGGATGTGATCCGAGACGGTGCCCAGATCTCCTTGTGCCTTTTGGCCTTCCCCTTTGCCTACATATAGACCTATATGCATAACAGTTCAACCCATGCATATAAACCCATTTTGATCAGGAACGATGAAATTAAGATATATACCCCTATAGAGAGACTCATATAACATGCCAAGGAACTCATATCAAGCAAGAACCCTTTGTTCTAAATATAAAGCAAGGATTTACCTTAGTTTGGATATGAAATCAATAGCTAGATGAGATAGGGCAAGATACAGAATCTCTACGCTCTAGAAAAGTGTCTTATCAGGCGACTTTTGCTGAGATTGCTACTATGGAGGAGATTTCGTGGCGTCAGAAATCTCGGGTTTTGTGGCTTAAAGAAGGTGACTGCAATACTAAATCCTTTCACAGGCTTGCGAACGCTCATAGAAGATACAATAACATTGGGCGTATTCGTGTGAATGGTTCAGAGTTGTGGAAAGAAGATGAGGTGCGTGGGGGTATTGTTTTTTTTATCAGCAGCTCTATATCGAGACTTTGGAATGGAGACCAAAACTTGACGGTTTGCATTTCGATGTTATTTCTACGCTGGATAGTGATATGCTTGAGGTTCTGTTCTCTGAAGAGGAAGTTCTTAAGGCGTTATCCAGTTGTAATGGTGATAAAGCTCTAGGGCCAGACGGATTTACTATGCGGTTTCTTAAGGAGAGCTGGGAGGTGGTGCGTAATGAGGTAATGGGCACTTTTTAGGAATTTCATTCTCCTGGTACATTTGAGAAATCATTGAATGCATCTTTCATTGCTTTTATTCCTAAGAAGGGCAACGCCTCTGACATTAAGGACTTCCGGCCAATCAGTCTAGTGGGATGTATGTATGTATAAGCTTATTGCCAAGGACCTTGTTCTTAGAATGCGAAATGTTTTGGATGGAATTATCTCAGAGTCGCAAAATGTTTTTGTTGGTGGTAGACAGATTTTAGATTTCGTTCTTATCGCAGGAGAATGTGTCGACTCCAGGTTGAAGAGTGAAGTTCCTGTTGTCTTATGCAAACTTGATATCAAGAAAGCTTATGACCATGTGAATTGGAAATTTCTTCTTTACTTGCTTCGGAGAATGGGGTTTGGGGATCGATGGATAAAATGGATTGAATCTTGCATCTCGTCAGCTATGTTCTTTGTGCTTGTGAACGGCTCTCTAGCTGGTTTTTTCCCGAGTTCGCGTGGTTTGAGACAATGAGATCCTTTGTCGTCTTTTCTATTCCTTATTATCATGGAGGGATTGAGTAGATTAATGAAAAAGGCAGAGGATCTGGGTTACATAAGGGGGTTCACTGTTGGCAGAGATGTCGCTAACCAGATTCAGATATCCCATTTGTTGTTTGCAGATGATACCTTGGTTTTTTGTGATGCTGATGTTTCCCAACTCAGGTATTTGAGGTGCATTCTTACATGCTTCCAAGCAGTGTCTGGTCTTAAGATTAATGTTGGAAAGAGTGTGCTTATCCCAGTGGGGAATGTCTCTGATATTTCCTTCTTAGCTGCTGTTCTTGGGTGTGGAGTGGGTGCTTTTCCACTCCTTTATTTGGGATTACCTTTGGTAATCTCCTCCAGGAGAGTGGGGACTTGGGATCCGGTGATTAACAGGTATAAAAAAAGATTGGCGGGGTGGAAAAAACAGTATCTTTCGAAAGGGGGGAAGGTCACTCTTATTAAGAGCAGCCCCTTGTCCCTTCCCACATATTTCTTATCCTTGTTGCAAATCCCGTGCTCTATTGCTGAACAGATCGAAAAAATTCAAAGAGATTTTCTTTGGGGTGGAAAAGGAGAGGAGTTTAAATATCATCTTGTTAGTTGGGAGCAGGTTTGCAAACCTTTGAAGTTTGGCGGTTTAGGTATTCGGAAGTTGGTCCCTTTTAATAGAGCCTTATTGGGGAAGTGGTTATGGAGGTTCGGTAAAGAGTGTCATCGACAATGGAGAAGAGTTATCTCGTGTCGTTTTGGGGAGGAGAGTGGAGGTTGGTCGTCTCGTCCTGTTTCTATTACTGGGGGTGTTGGCGTTTGGAAGTTCATTCGGAAAGGTTGTGATGTGTTTTCCACCCATATTCGGTTCAAGGTTCATAACGGTATGAATGTTAGATTTTGGGAAGACTTATGGTGTGGTGATCAGTTGTTGCCTCTTTCCTTTCCTCGTCTCTTTTGCATTGCCGAGAATAAGCATGCTTACGTAATTGACTGTTATTTTCTTGATAACAGTGGAGTTACGTGGGATGTGCGTTTTAGGCGTTCTCTTCAGGATTGGGAGATAGCAGAAGTTTGCGTCTTTTTGGACCTGTTGTATAGACAGAAGGATGTTGGCAGAGATTGTGATGACATTTTGTGGACCCCCTCTCTTCATGGTAGATACGAAGTTCGATCCATGTTCTTGTGTTTGTCTAATTTTATTGGACATAATTTCCCATGGAAGTGTATTTGGCGCTCTAAAGCTCCTCTTAGAGTCGCCTTCTTTGTTTGGACTGCTGCCTGGGGAAAAATTCTAACATTGGATAATCTGCGTAAGAGAGATAATACCATTGTTAACTGGTGTTGTCTCTGTAAAACTGATGGTGAGTTCGTGGACCATCTTCTTATGCATTGTTATGTTGCATCTGATTGTTGGAATCTCATATTCAGTATTTTTGGCGTTTAGTGGGTAATGCCTAAGCACTCTTTCCAATTAATTAACGCTTGGAGAAGATGCCCTGTTACTGGTCATGCTCTTGATTTTTGGAAGGTCGCCCCACACTGTGTTTGGTGGTGTATTTGGAGAGAGAGAAATAACAGAAATTTTGAAGGAAAGGAATCGTCTTTTGCAAACCTTAAGTCTCTTATTCTGTGCTCTCTTTTCTGTTATGTTAGAGGCAGCGATTGCTCCTCGATTGATGATTTTTTTGTTCTATTGGATTATGTTGGTCCGTAGGTTTGGCTTTTGCTCTTTTGTTTTTGTGTATTAGGGACGCGTTTTCCTTTTGAATGTTTTTCTAATATATTTTTTAGTTATCAAAAAAAAAAATGAAATCAATAGCTGGATGAACCTAGTTTCAAAATCAAATAAAAAATAAACCCCAATTTACAAATTAAATTGATAAACAAAACCCAAATTGTAATGCGGGAAAAAAACCCATCTAGACATTGTCCAAAAGAAATTTACTATTGGAAAATTACTGAATTTTTAGATAAATCATGAATAAAATGTTGAACTCTCCGAATTTCAAAAATCAAGAGCGAAATTGAAGTCTCTCTTTCCCCGACTCTCTCCCGTGGATTTTCATTTTCATAGAAATTGTTAGACCTCTCTCACAGCCGCTAATGGTATTAACAAGAATCCATTACCGCATCGTTTTGGTGTCATGGCCTTTACATGCTATGGACTTTCCTGTTCTAGGAATTATTCCAGAACACCAAAACGATGCTGATGAGCAGTGCAAGTGGCTGCCCAATCCTGCCGGCGATTCCCAACAAGGCAACCTTCAGATGGGGGCCGATTTAGATGGGTAATCACGACACAGTAATCTTACCGGATGGGTCTTAGCATTGCTCCCTTCATTTATGCTTTTTAGTGATAGAAAGTAGAGAGTTGAGAGAGATGATGACGGTTGGCCAGTGGCAGCGACGATGAGTGGTGAGAAGAGAGAACCGAAAGAGGGTGGCGACGACGGGTGGAGAGAGATGGTGGCAATGGTGGCGATGGTGGTTGGAGAGAGAGAGGAAGAGAAGGCATCATTGGGGTAGGGTGTGAACAGAAAGCCCAGGTGTTCCTCTTGTAAGTGTGGGCAAAGTTGTCATTTCACATAATAGGATATTTTGCTATTTTATTGTTAAAATAATAGGGGTACAAGAGTAAAAACAGTCAAAGAAATTAATGTCAGGCAGCCACTATGTGTTAGAGGGGAGGTCATTGCAAGATTTTTGAAAAGTTTCATTAATTAGGGCACACCTCAGGAGAGGTCAGTGTATTTAACAAATATTTGTGTAACTGTGGAAAAAATACTCATATGTGCACATGGTAATGATTAATGATTATTTGTCTAAGATGTCATGCTTAAAATATTGCTGTGACCATGAAGGCAATGAAATTGTTTATATATACCAGTTACAACCTTAACTCTCCGATGAACTATTGGCGGAAATTTCCCCCGAAAATACAGCAGCAGCCAAGATAATAACAACCCTTTAATCATCACATGGTTAAGTAATGGTTGAAGCCCTCATGTAATGTAAAAGGATAACATTTTTTTCCCTTTGGTTCGGGGATTTTACTGAGGTTGCTCTAGAGTAGAATATACTTTTGTTAAAATGTTCAAGCCCCAGTGTGGGGTATGTGTATTTATTTGTTTTGGTGTTATTGATTTGTTTCATTGAATTTGTAAATTTTTTTTTTTTTTTTTTTTTGTTAACAGGGGAAAAACTCTAACATTGACGAGCCAAACGATGGTAAGTCTACCAGTGAGATATCGAGTCCATGCACCCCACAGAAAGACACCAATGGCCATCAAGTGCAGGTAGAACAGTGAATAAGGAGCTAAAAAATCGTGGTAATTCTACAGATTATTATCTCCTTTCACCGACCACCTATATTGATGCCAGTTCAGGGAGCAGAGAGATTTATTTATTTAATTTTTTTGTCTGTATCCATTTCTTCTGTGAAAGATTATAAATATAAAAGCTCATATCAATTATATTGTTTGTTTGTTTGTTCATTAAGTAATAATAGCAGTGTAGGAGAGAAGACAGATTTTAAGAAGAAACATGGGATCCATTGTACACAACTGTATAAACATTGCTTCAATTTTGTATTGGTTGGTCTTCGTTGGAGAAATTTAGTTTTTATTGGGTAATTATTAGTTTAAACTTTGATGGTATTTACTTTATTGGGGAAAAATATAAGCAGCAAATGATGATGTATATGTTCTTCTTCAATTGTTGATGGTGTAATATTTACCACCTATATAATATTTTCTGTAGACAATTGTACGCAAATCTACATTCTCAATTAGTTTGTTTTGGCATGGTGCAAAAGTTTTAATTTGGAATATATTTTTTAAGAGTGCAGGACATCATGTATAATTTGATATATCTATTACCAGATTGTCCGCTTTATCCTTCATAAAGAAGTATATGTATATTTTCTATCTGTTGATTGTTCAAGAAAAATATATAATAAATTAGTTTGTTTTGGCTAGGGGCGAGTAAATAATCCGTCAATTCGGTCTGAACTAATCCGATCCGTATGATTCGGTTCGGTTTTCAAATCTTATGGTTCGGTGATAGTTAGAAAAATTTACAATCCAGTATTCGCGGTTCGGTTAGCGGATTGGCCTAAGAAAAATTTCGACTCGAACCGTTAACCAATTCGAACCAAACCATTAACCGATCCGTTATCAATTCGAACCGTTAATCGATCCAAACCGAACCATTACCCATTCGAACCATTAACCAATCCGAACCGAACCATTATCTATTTGAACCATTAACCGAACCGAACCATTATCTATTTGAACCATTAACCAATCCGAATCGAATTGTTACTTAAATAATATATTAATATTATATATATATATAAAATATTGAATATACAGTATATATGTATTACTTATCGTATTATTTATTTATTTATTAATTATTCTTTTAACTTTTAAGTTAACCCTAGCAGTACCCAAACTCAGTACTCCATCTCATTTCATTACAGTCTCAGCCGCGCCTCCCTCAGCCCCTCTTCTCTTCAGTCTTCTCTCTTCTCCTCTTCTCTTCAGTCTTCTCTCTTACAGCCTCAGCCGCGCCTCTCAATCTAGCACCTCTTCTCTTTCAGTCTTCTCTCTTACAGCCTCAGCCACACCTCTCAATCCATCGATCACCAAATTCGAAGCAACGGGGACCTCTGCGTATCGAAGCAACGCCTCCCTCAGCCCCTCTTCTCTTCAGTCTTCTCTCTTCTCCCTCTTCTCTTTAGTCTTCTCTCTTATAGCCCAATCTGTGAAAATCGATCCGAACTGATCTGTTACTTCACGGATGGATTCGGTTTCAATTTTTACCAATTTGTTGAGACTGGTTCGGCTTGATCTTTTTCTCCAAACCGAACTGATCCGAAGGCCTAGTTTTGGCATAGTGCACAAATTCACATGTGTCAGACATGTTGCTAACCACTCCATATTACAATCAAGCCATGTCATGCAAAAGTAGATACTGACCAACCAGTCCTAACTGGGATGTGGAGTATAATATGCTCCCTTGCACCGACATGGTGATCAACATAATTACTGCAACTTATACAATCAGTAAAAGACGTTAAACCAAACGGGAGAAAACAGTTAATTCTTACCGAGTGGAATATTAAGTTCTCCTACCAGACATCTTAGCAAGAATTCACTATTAACAAAATTATGTAATGGATAGGGATGGTAAATTTCCCATTCTGCCGAGTCCCCGCCCCGTTTAGGGTGGGTTTGGGGATCCTTTTATGTAAACGAGAATAGGAATGGAGTAATTTTTGAAAATTTGGCGGGGACAGGAATAGGGTAAACCCACCTGTCCAACCGCGTTTAAGGTGTACATTTACTAAAATACTTTTATATATTATGATATATTACTAAATTATATTAATTATATATAAACATCTAAAAATAAGAAAATTTATGTGTTAAAAAAATTATAGTGTATATTAAACGGGAACGGGGATGAAAAAAATTACCGGGGATGAGGATGGGGATGTCCTATGAGATAAATATGTGGGAAAGTTCAGTAGTCAAGGCAGCGATCAAAATCAAAAAAGGTTGAACACTTCAAAAGTTAAATTATTGAGGATGCATTGAGAGAGTCTGCTGGACCATTATATCATGTATCACCATTTTGCACATTGTATCTCCAAACCATGATGTATAACAGCGTTTAGATTTGCTTCTAAATTTAAATTAGATCATTGAGTACCCCTGAAAAATGTCATTGCCTGGCAGCTCAAAATCATCTAGATCAAAAGTCTCTGGCAAGGTGATGGAGTGATACGGTGCAGTAGATTCTTGAGGTGGTTAATCAACAGTAGTTGAGCGAAAAGCTTGCTTAACCTTGAGCAAAGCCTCACTGCAATCATCGAAAAGGTAATTCACCTTTCTAGAATCTATCCTCACCACACCAAGCAGAAGATGGCAGACAAGCGGAGTGCAATGGGTACATCGAGCAGGAAAAAGAATCGAGTCTGTTCAAAGATGAATGTCAGATAGAGTATTTGCCATCAGATATAAAAATTAAAAAGGAAGCAGAGTCAACGTTGGGGAACGAACTGCAGACGCAAAATCATATTTGTAGTGAGTTGCATTTCCTTAAGTACAATAAAATCTACCAAAAACAGAATATGTGGTTTGCTTCAATTAATTCAACATCTGATAATGCTTCTATCAAAATTTCAACGATACAATAAACAGCATGAAACTCAACACAGCAATGGTGTACACAAAAAAAATCAGGGAAATAAGTAGATAAATAAATAAAATACCTAACTAGATCTAATCAAGCTTCCCTGAACAGATTCTGCATAATTAAAATTTTGAAATATTGGAGGTTTTTTTTTAAGTGAAATATTGGAGGACAGTCTCTCATCAGGGTCAGTCCTCCTAATTTGCATTGTTGAATTGTAAGAGACACGAAAGTTAATGCAAGTGTAGAGAAGAAGAGTACAAGAAAATTAATTTAAGTGTAGAGAATAATACAAGAGGATGGTGTGTGTGTGTGTGTATTTGTGTGCTTAGTCTAAGGATTATTATTATTATTATTTTTTCGGAAGGTCAGTCTAAGGATTATTGCTTTTCTAGTTTTTATAGGCTTCCAAATTTATTGTGAGTGGTCATTCTCTATTTGCTTTGATGTACAGGGAGGGAATGGCCTCTCTTTATCCCTTGTACTAATCACATTTATGTTAAAATAAGGGTAAATTACAACAACATTCCTTGAGCTTAGGTCATATTTCACCTATATGAAAATTTTGATTTTAACTTTTACTTACACCCCAAATTAGTTTTTGAACTCTGACACATGTGAATTGACCTATTTACCCTCACTTTTTTCAAAACAATTTAATACAAAATTTCTACAAAACTAAAATGGCAGAAATACCCCTATGTAATACTAATATTCCAAATCACTATTTTTCTTTTCTCTTTCATCTATTTAAAAAAAATTGGGCATCAGTCACAGCATCACCATCGTCTCCCCTTCCACTGTCGTTTAAGTCACTATCGCCATCACAGGTTGGTCGGAGATTCTCATCTCGCCATGGGCAAAACCAGGAAGCTTGTTTTATCGTGAAAATCATTAAGAGCAAATCACACACTCCCTCTCCCTGTCAAAGTTCCAAAACACCTTCCTAACAATCACCACACCACAGAACGATCCGACGACCATTGACGTAATTTCCGGCGGCGGCGACAGTGACAACAATCTGCAACAATGATGACGACACACCACACCACACCACAAAACGATTCGACAATCATCGACGCAATTTCCAGCAGTGGCGGCGGCAATGACAACAATCTGCAATAACGATGACGATTTGCAGCAGCGGCAACCTCTAAATGGGAAAATGTATCCTCGTCGCAGTTGGGGCTACGACGGCGTCAATTCCGGTGGTGACGGTGCAAATGGTGTCGCCTTCGAATTTCGGCGAGGAACAAGTAATCTCGTCGAACTTGCTGCCGTTCGTGGGTATTATGCTGCGCCGAGAAGGGAGCTGCGGTGCGATGTTGGATTCACAGCCGTCGAAGAGTAGCGATTTGTGGGTTTTGGGCAGAGTTTCCCTTCCGGCGGAGGTCCAAAGTGACTTGTGGTGTTGGATTCATAGGCGCGGATGATGGAATTGGGATGCAATGGGATGTTTGTCGGGTCGGGTGTGTTCAAAAGCGGTGACCCGGCTAGGCGTGCTCGGGCAATTGTTCAGATCCGGCTGCCCCGACTTGCCCAAAGGCACAGAAGGCAGCAGTGGAGCGGAAGATGCCACCGACGACGATGGAAGATAAGGAGGAGGAGGAGCCGACAATGCCGTCGACGGGTCAAAAAGTAGACTGCATACAACCACCGCATAGATATATAGTGTGTTTATATAGATATAGATATATAGTGTATATATGTATGCTTGACTGTATTTATTAATTTTGTGTATAAATTAAGGTTTGGTGAAGGAGGGGAAAAGATTGTATATGTGTGCGAGTGCGTATATATATGTATGTGATTGGTGGTGGTGACTGGTTTTGGAGGTGGCGGCCATGGGTCTGTAACATTCTTGGTTTTGGAGAAGATGGGCGTGTGTATACAGTTGTTAACCAAATGTAGAGAGCGAGAGAGAGAGAGAGAGTAGAGAGGGGTGAGTTGAGTGAAGGGTATTTTTGTCCTCAAAAAATTGAAACATCATTCTTGTAAGTCAACAATTAGTCAACGAGGGCAACATAGTTATTTTGCATGTAAAAGTACTCTACCACCCATGAAAAATGACATTTGGGGTGTGAATGAAATACTAAACCACTGATTTAAATATAAGTGAAATCTAAAACTAAAATTTTCATCTAACTGAAATATGTTCTAACCTCAGAGGGTCTGAGTGTAATTTACCCTTTTTTTTAAGAGTGCATGACATCATGTACAATTTGATATATCTATCACCAGATTGTCCACTTTATCCTTCATAAAAGTGTGTATGTATTTTCCATCTGTTGATTGTTTATAATATATTTTGCTACAGCAGGTTAATGGTTCCCATTTGTATTTTAAATTGAGAGCCATGAGGAGCAAGATGGGGAAGTATACTCCAAAGGGCTGGAGGGTACCTTGCAAAATCACGGGAAATAATAATATACTCTTTGTGCTTATGTGACTTACG